GGAGTATGTGTGTGCAGAGGGTGATATTGGGGATTTTGTGTGTTCAGAAGGTGATTTTGAAAGTAGTTCTTGGAGGATATTAGGTGGTGGTGTTGGAGGAGGGTGGTTTTTGAGGAGAGGGAGGGTGAGTTCAGAGAGAGAGTGACAAAGTGGATCTCACACGGAGACACGGCCCCAGGCACCTAGACCGGGTGACTGCTACCAGCCGGCATCGCCACACCCTCCTCCTCACCAATAAGGCGGTCAGACTCACAGTTGAGCTCTGGGTATCGGGCCGGCTGGTTGTTGGAACGCAAACAGACCGGGGGGAAAGGGAAGGCGAAAGCACCCAGGCAGCAGCCGGGACATGAGAGCCGCTCGTCTGTCTCTTGCTCTGTGCTCCCCATCAAGGAGCCGGCCACCGGCGCAAGCGCATTCTGCGAGAGCGTCCGAACAACCGGTGTATTCACATCAACAGGCCGGCAAGAAGGCGCAGGCGCAGTCACGTCGACGGGCCAGTACGGGAGCGCAGACGGAGTCAACTCAACCGCCAGGTTCGGGACGTTGAACGCAGGCGCGCTTCCCGGCAGATGCTGCGCACGCACGCCCCCCACCGGCTCGGAGGAGCAGGGAATGTGGGAGAAGGACTGCCGGTGCCGTTCGCTCACCGCCGCATCGGTCTCCGGAGAACGAGGTGGCCCGCCGTCAGCGCGGACGGTCCTGGAAAGCGAGGGCCTGTCGGTGCGATCAACGAGCGGCGATCTACCAGGTGAGTCTGCTCCTGTCTCCTCCGTCTTTCCACCGGCGCCGTCACCGCCTCCTCGGCCGCCGTGATCCTCCTCCTCCTCCCTCCGATAGGCCTGGACCCATGCCCTCTGACCCTGCCGGGGTGAGAGGTCAGAGCCGGCTTGGCCCCGCCCTCCCAGGCGTCGGAGTTCGGGCAGTGAACGGCACCGACGGGCGGGTGGCGCTCCGCAGGGGAGGCCGCTTCGAGCTGGGTTCAGCGGCTCCGGGGTGAGTGGCTGGGCGGCTAGCATCGCCGAGGGGGACGGCGGCGGAGGTGGTGGCAGTGGCAGCAGGTCGAAGCTCAGCGAGATGACCGAGCGGCTCGGCGAGTCGTACAGTTTGGTCTTGCCGCCTTTCAGGTCGTCCCGGCCGGAGAACGGGTTGACCCGTGCGGCCGGGCCCAGGCCCTCAGCTCCCAGGGCCGACCGGGAGAACATGTCCGAGTAGCTCCGGGACAAACGAGGCTCGCATTGCACTCGCAGGCTATTGGAAACATCTCGGGCCGGGCCTCCGCTTCCACTCCATTCACACTCATTGTTCCCTGAGGGCAAAAACATGTAGAATTTCAGACAGGGGTTAGAGATAGAGTAAAGCTCTGTCTACTGTTTTTGTCAACGGAGTTTAACTTTTTGTCTGTGTCCCTATTCAACGTTCCCAGGACCGTACAGCACAGGGTTAGATATAGAGTAAAGCTCTCTATTCTGTACCCATCAAACACTTGCAGGACAGGTACAACACTATATCTAAACCTGAGTAATGTTCCCTATATACTTCCATTAAATATCAGCTTAATTTCCTGAAATATTCAAAGCTTCACAGAATGGTTACTGGACAGAACAAGGCCACTCTCTCCATTGTGATTGTGTGGGATTACTGCAACAGCAATATGTGTATTTTCCATTTCCTCACTTTTCCCCTGGAGTCCTGGAAATGTCTGCTGTTCAGGTACTGATCCACTGCCCTTTGAAAGTCACGATTTGCCTCCACCATAGGGACATAAGACTTGGGAGCAGAGATATGTCATTTCACACTGTGAGCCAGCTCCACTAGAAATAGAATAGAATAAAACCTTATTGTCACGTGCACTGAAATGAGTGAAGCGAAAAGTTTGTAAAGTTGTCTCTTGGTGCCATCTTAGGTACAAGAGTGTAGTTACAGAGTAAAGAAAATTATAGTGATACAGAGTAAAAAGAAAGTAGATTATCATGGGAACAGTTGAAAAAGTCCAGAACAATAATAAATGACAATGAGTACTCAAGTTCCAGTCTGTGACTGCTAGTCCCAGAGCACAAGGCCATGCTATCTCCATCCAGGACTCGCTCCATCACTGCTCTGGGCATCAGCCCGTTTGCTCACTCTGCCGCAGGACTATTCAGTAAGTGCATGGTGGATCTGGTTGTGGTCTCAGCTCTACTTTCCAGTTGGCTCCCACCATGACCTTTGACTTCCTTATCCATCAAAAATCTATCCACCTCAGCTTTGAATAAATTTGAGAACCAGCCTTCAGTTCTTTCTGTTGAGGGGAATTCCACATACAAACACCACTTAGAGAAAAAAAAATCCTCATCTGTTTCTTAAAGGGAGGCATTTTTTGCCACGACTTGCACTGCATCTCACATCTAAGTTCATGTGAAGAAGCTTTTTCTCTTAACTTCTGTTTCTTTTGCCAATCAAGTTGAACCAATATCCCTGGTTCATAACCTTTCTACCAAAGGGAACAGTTTCCCCAAATTACTAGATATCAAAGCTGTTCTCTCTCGAATGAGAACAACCTCAGCTTTGCCAATCGATTTATTTAACTGAATTCTTACACCAGATTTTTTCCAGGGATGCATCATTTTTGTACTCCAGTGACTTCAGATCCTCTCTATAGTATAATGTCTAGAACCACACACGATACTTCAGCTATGACTGAATCAGTGTTTTATACAAATTCATCATATATTCCTTCACATTTTTGTACTCAAGTGTGGTAATATTGAGCTACCTAAGGGCAGGTGCTCTGCTCATTCCTTCACACCGTGCACTTTCTTCTTCAGTTGCTCATAGGAGTCTCCCTTTTCAATTTCATGATGTCTTACCCTATGCCTTGATTTATAAAGCCCAGGATATAAACCCTTTATCAACCTTTGCTGCCACCTTAATGATTTATGGATGCACCTCACACCTAACCTCCTTCCCAAAATAAATTACCTTACTTCATCCATTTTGAAATGTACACTTTGATTTATAATGCTTTCTGTTGTTCTTCCAAAATGTATAATTTCCCATTGGTTTACATCATATTTCACGTCATGATCCATCACTATCATCCTCATAATTCACAATGCTTCCTTTTTGTCACAAGATATTGAAATGGTGTCCTACACACACACATCCATGTTATTAATGTTTATGAAAAAGAGCAGGAGCCATGTTACAACCCACTGGGAAACCCCATTCCAATAAACATTGGTATTGCTACTAAACAAAAAAAAAACTGTGGATACTGGAAGTCAGAAACAAAACAGAAATTGCTAGAAAGAACTCAGCAGGTATGGCAGCATCTGTGGACAGGAAGTACAGTTAATGTTTCAGGTTTGAACTGTTCAGAAGAGGAGTCACTGGACCTGAAATGTCAACTCTGCTTTCTCTCCACATGGTGTCAGACCTGCTGAGTTTTTCCAGCAATTTCTGGTTTTATTACTATTACTACTTCATGTCTCCTTTTACAGGGAGAAAGTTGGGGAATGGCAGTTGGTAAATTGTTCAATCAGCAAGCTAGTGTAGGTACAATGGACTGAATAACCTCCTGTACTATAACCATTCTGCTAATTTCTTATCTGTCCTGTCACTTCCACTATCAACAGGCTTCTACACACTGCTTGCAAACCTGATAAAAGGCACTTTATTAAATGGCTTTTGAAATTTACATGCAGCAGATCAATTGTAACACCTACATTAAGCTTTTCTGCTCCTTCACCCAAAAACTCAATGAAATTTGTTAAACATGATGTGTCCTTGACAATGCCATTCTTGCTTTTCTTAATTAATCCACTTCTCCAAGTAACTGTTAATTTTGTCCCATATGGAAATTTCCCATGTCTGAACTGAGATTAAACTGACTGGTGTTTAGTTGCTGGGCTTATTCTGAAACCTTTTTGAGCGAGTGTGTTACATTTAAATTCTCCAATGCTTTGGAATCCTCTCAATGTGTAAGGAGAATTGGTAGATTGTTGTCTTATTTATGTGGCAACTTGAGGTAACCATTGGATACCCATCCAATCCTGACGAATGATGAACTTTTTAAGTACAGCCAGTCCCTCTAATAGTGCCTTCAGTCCCTAGATTAACCTGAACTCCAAAGATTAATCATATTGGACCAAAAATATTAAAAATCTATAGTATTCTGCATTTATGACTGATTTTGGTGTTGAATGATAGAGGCAATTTGACTTCATTCTATATAAAATAAAGAATTATGAATGCTGGAGATCTGAAACAAAAACAAATGGCTGGCGAAACTCAGTAGGTCTGGCAGAATCTGTGTGGAGAAAGCAGTATTAATGTTTCAAGTTCTGTTCTAATGAAGAGTAAATGGACTCGAAACATTAACTATGCTTTCTCCTCACAGTTTCTGCCAGGTGTACTGTGTTTTGACATTAATTTCTGTATTTGACTTCAATTTATTTTGGATCGTATGCAATTTCTGTGCTTCCCAAATCCTTTAGGACAAGAAGAGCAAGGTCCAGCCATTGGTGAGGATGGAGTGTATCGTAAAGCCCAAGGGCGACAATCCACTGCCACATTGAGCCATTCAATCCTTATTCGTAACCCTTGTCCATTAGCTGCAGTCACAATCTAGAGACATGTCCAACTATCTAAGAACCAGTATGGCCCTGTCCAGATCTATGGGATAGATGCTGAAAGCATATTTTCCCTGGCTGTGCTGTCTATAACTCAGGGTCGTAGACATGAGACAAGGGGTCTGACTGAGATGAGGGAACATTTCTTGTGTGAATCTTTGGAACTCTTTACCCCAAACGGATGTAGAATGAGTCTGCACATATTTTAAGAATGAGATCAGTAGAAAATAAAGTGAAAAGTCTATCAGGCTGGAAAGTAGTTCAGGTAGATTAGCCATGATCTTGGAGAAACTTAGCAGATATGGCAGCATCTGTGGAGAGTCGTATTGGACTTGAAATGTTATCTGTCTCCAGAAATGCTAGCCCATCTGAGTTTCTCCAGCATTTTCTGTTTTTATTTCAGATCTTCAGTATCACAGTATTTTGTATTTACACTAGCCATAATTGTATTGAATGGTGGACTAGATATCTTCTAATAACCGCTTCAGAGATTGTATTACGATCCTCTGGAGGGATAAGGACTTGAACCTGGGATATCTAGTTCATGGGTAGGGACACTACCTGTGCTACCAAGGTCCTTGATTGATTGGTGGCATAGACTAGATGGTTTGTGGTCTGCTCCTAATGTTGTTCACATAGCTAAAGGAGAGTTGATAGCATAGTGGCAATGACAGTGGACCAGCATTCCATAATCCTAGGCTAATGATCTGGGGACATTGTTCAAATCTCACCATATTGCAATCTGAACTCAATAAAATCTGGAATTACAAACTAGCCTCATGGCATTCATGTAACCATTGTTATTGAAAACATATTCGATCTGACATACATGTAACTTCAGACCCACAGTAAATGCTAAGAACTGACTCAAAATTGTTCCTGAAGGATGGAACTAAGTCAGTCTACATCCTGAAAGTTCAGAACAATGAGGAGCTAGTGAATTGATGCTATAACTTCATATCTGTAGATTTTAGCGCCTCTTGTGTCAGATAATTTCTCCTTTTGTTTCCTTTGCACCGCTCTCTCCCTTCATCTTTGTACTTTTGCCACTCTACCTGTCTTTTCCTCCATCATTGTCTTTCTTTTTATGTCTGTCCCTCCATTCTTGAATTCATTGGAACATCCTTAACTCCTCAGATTCAATTTACCATTGTGTACAGTTGAAACTTCCACAGTGAGGTGCTGTTCTGCATTCTCCAGCCCAGAATCTGTGTTTTTACAGAGATTCAGCATCGTCTCCAGCTTCTGGACAATCTCTGCAAAGGACGGCCGTTGGGTGGAATCCATCTTTAACACACAAAGCAGGAATACAGAACGTGTCAGAAAACCAGGCAGCAGTTAAAAAGTTCACACTTTCCTAGTTCTAGTATCTAACTTCACAGGCTACATTACAGTTGATGTTTTTTTTAAGAGATCCATGACTGTCCAAATCGCCAGAACAGCACAGCAGTCTTACTATTGGACAGTATGAAATAGCGTGAGCGCACACACCAGGATAAGATTCCATCATACAGCTGGGAGAGAAGCTCATCATAAATATTTGAAATATAACCACTAGAGAGTGGGCACATCACTGTATGGATATTGCTCCATTAATATGGCCTGCTGGCTAGAAAATCTGCAAAATCAAAAATGTTGTTTCTTCAGTGACCTTCCATTGAGGTGAGGGTTGTGCTTTGGGGAGACCCTTCACAAATTAAATCTCTTGGAAGCTTACCACCGGCAATAACATCACTCAACAGGCTGGAGGGAAGTCACCACTCTGAATACCAGCAGTGTCACTCTGCCAGTGATCACATGTGCACTGAGCAAAGATCCTCTACATTTACCCATCAAGCTTCCAGATAATGTACAGCTTCGAGTTAGACACGGTAAAGCTCACTGTACACTGTCTCGTCAAATACTCCCAGGACAGGTTTAGCACAAGGTTAAATTTGGAGTATCACGCTATGTCGTTCAATTACACCAACTTGAAATGAAATTTAGTAGTGTTTACTGCATTTCCAAATGTCATGCCAGCCTTGCTCAAGAAGCTGTCAACTATTTCAGAAATGTGGTCTTAAGAATTGCCATCTTGTCAACAATTTATGTTGGAATATCCTCCCCTAGCATAGTTTGATATGGAACAGATGAAAGTTCTTATTTGATAAAGACAGCAACCGGAGTTTGCAGACTCTATCCCAATGTCACTATCCCAACCCCTTTCTACAAACTTCAGTTGAGACTCACAACGCAGCAGTGGATAGCCAGCTTCAAGAATGAAGGCGGACAGTCTCCCACCATCGTCTCGAAAGTATTCACATCTAGGCCGAAGTCCTAAAGGAGAATGGAGACGTCAGATCATTTCGTTACTTGCAGGCATGCACCTGGAATGCTGGGAACAATTTTGAACCCCATCTAAGGAAAGATATACTAGCATTGGAGGGAGTCTAGAGAAAGTCCACTAGTTTGATTCCTGGTGTGGAACGCCTGTCTAATGAGGCGACTTTGAGTAGATTAGGCCCGTACTTATTGGAATTTAGAATAATGAAAGGAGACCCAATTGAAACATACAAGATTCTTAGGAAATTGACAGACCCAATGTTGAAAGGTTGTTTTCCCTTGAGGGAAAGTCTAGGACCAGAGAGCATAATCTGAGGAAGGGGGTTGTCCATTTAAGACAGATGAGGAGGAGTTTCTTCTCTTGGAGTGTAGTGAATTTGTGGTATTCTTTACCACAGTGGGTTGTCAAGGCTGAGATAACCAGATTTTTAATCTGGAAAGGAATTGAGGGTTATTGGGGAAAAGGCAGCAAAGTGGAATTGTGGATTGTCAGATTAGCCATTGTCTCACTGAATGTCAGAGCAGACTCGTGGTCTGAATGGCCTACTTTTGTGCTTGCATCTTATGGTAATTGGAAGTGTGGAATACTCCTCGTTCAAACAGTGGGCCCTCTAATAGTAAGTTACAGTGAGAGAGAATAAGAGAAAAGAAAGTTAAAATGGGCCAGTCTTCATCAAGAACTTAACTGTGATTGGCCAAATTCAATTCATGTACTTCCATAACATCGGTATAGGCTGGATTTGCATGTTCTGATTCACAATATCACCGAGTCTCTCATTATTTGCAGATAGTAAGAATTGCTGATGCTGGAGTCAGATAATGCTGTGTGGAGCTGGAGGAACACAACAGGTTAAGCAGCAGAGGAGCAGGAAAGCTGACGTTCAGAAGAAGGGTCCCGACCCGAAATGTCAGCTTTCCTGCTCCTCTGATGCTGCCTAACCTGCTGTGTTCCTCCAGCTCCACACTGTATTCTCTCTCATTATTTGCTTTGTTTTATCCCTGTGAATGACAGGAAGAGAAGATGACTTCTACTGTGCAATTCCACAAGCAAGACTGTTGTGGTTAGCAAGTGCTTGGAGGTACCCGAGGTGAAGACTTGGATGGATTTTGTAATGCTATTTCTGCAGCATTGAGTGAAGCCAGCAGATGGTGCAGTACTCCTGATGCAAGGGAGTGTAGTGTAGAGTCTCTGTGAGCTACTCTGCTTGGAAACAAACAAGCTGTGAACTTTACACAATGAACTGTAATAGATGACTGTCCTCCAAACTGTCAGAAGGCAAGACTAGGGGATAATGACCAGTGGCTTGTTATAGGTATGGTAACAAACCTTGTGAAATAATCTGATACTGTGGTGATTGGGAAAGTGCACATTTATTCTGGATAAATGAGCACAACAGTTGTCTTTCTTATCCATATCTCCCATTTCCACAGCAAAATACACTCTGTCTTGGCCCATTACACACAGTGCTGTTCTGATCCTCAATCATATATTTGTCATCACCTTCAACCCTCCAGCATCTTTGCCCATCTGTGGATCCACAAGATGATGGTGGTGGACCTCCTTGTTCCTGGGTGATAGAGTGACTCAGCTGAATAGATAAGAGTCCACCACATTGGCTTGGGATTAGAGTCACTGATACGTCAAATGTGGGAAGGACAGCTTTCATTCTCTAAAGGACATCTGTGACCTGCTGGGTTTTTATGCCAGTCCAACTAGCTTCACAGTTATTTGTATTGATACAAACATTTTGCTTCAAACTAAATTAAAATTCTTAAAATGCCATAAAAAGAATCTGAATTTCCATTTCTAGTTGTAAAGATATTATTGTCATAGAGGGAGTCCAATGAAGGTTCATCAGACTTGTTCCCAGGATGGTGGGACTGTTCGATGAAGAGAGACTGGGCAAACTGGGCCTGTGTTCTCAAGAGATAACAAGGTGTAGAGCTGGATGAACACAGCAGGCCAAGCAGCATCAGAGGAGCAGGAAGGCTGATGTTTCGGGCCTAGACCCTTCTTCAGAAAAAAGGGTCTAGGTCCGAAACGTCAGCCTTCCTGCTCCTCTGATGC